CCCTGGTGCACGACTACCCGCTCCTGGTTCGACTCCTGTGGGTCTCGGCTTTGGAGCGTTTCCCAAGAACAGGGATGAAAGCAGAGCCGATCACTTGAGCGTGGGATCTTTGAAATGGAGTCGCAGAGTTTCTTAGATGTTGTGTGCCCGGAGGAGTGCAGCGCCGAGGTTGAATGCGGCTCCTTTGCTAGGCTAAGCCGCGGGGAATTGTGCGGCCGGGAACTTGTCTGTTTTCTGCAAGATAAACTTGTGAGGTCTTTATAAAGAGAGGGTCTGCTTCACAGTCCTCACCATGCTTCCCTTTAGGAAGCTAACTTTCGGTTGTCTTTAAGACTCCCAGCCCCCCCACTCCCACCCCCCACTGATGGGAATTGCAGGGCCTTGGAAACAAGGAGACAATTGTGTGCTGTAGTAAAGTAAATTTGCAAATATTTTCTATGTAGTTAATTTTTTTTCATATGCCTGCACTATGGTTTCATTAAGTGGCTTTTGTTAAAGCAACTCCCGAGTGCTTGGTAAAGATTTAAAAAAAAAAAACCAAGCTGGTAATTTGCATAGACAGTTTCAATCAGAAAAGATTTATAAGGTAGTACTTTGCAAAAGTTCACTTCTGATGCTTCGTGTATTCTATACTTAATAGTTTAAGGACATATTTTTTTCTGTGCTAATACTAAGGAATGGTAATGTTTTTCACACCAGTCTGAGCGTTTTAGCTATGTTATCCAACTATGTCTCCATTTGTTGCATGTACTCTCGGGTTATATTGGTTCATTCTAGGTTATTTGGCTTTGTGTCTTGGGATCATTGCTCTGATCAAGCAGTTAGAACTTGCCCTCTTTCCTTGTTCTTTGTTTTAATTTAAGATACATATATTTAAAACATGTTTTAGGAAAAAATGATGCTACTCCCAGTATTTTACAAGCTTAGTATAAGTTTTGTTTAAAAGTTTGCCTTTGTGTGCCCATTTCTTGAAAACTTAGCATCTTAAATGACCAGGGTCTTCTTCCGCCCCCCCCTTCCCACTGTGAAAGGAAGTAAGGTTGTTAGGGGGCCCTTCATAAAGTCATTTGGGCCACCTATGAATTCATTTTTGAGGGTAAGTAGTCTCTAGATCTGTTTTTATTGGGTTCACATCATGTATCAATAGACTGGTGAGTTAAACTCATACTAAAGATGTGTGCTCAGAGTAATAAGGTTTTCATTTGAATTAGCTCCGCCTTCTGAGGGTACATCTTCAGATTCAGCTCTTGGGCCCCCAGTGGAGAAGTCATTTCCTTAAGTGTTGAACTGGAAGGGACCTAGGCATCCTCTGTTTAATGTTATTAGGAAGTTTCCTGGGACTGCTTGTTTTCCATCCAGGACTCAATAAATAAAATCAAATTGGCACACTATTGCATTCAGTGCTGTCTAGGTGACTGGTTTGTAGCCTGAAGGACCTGAGTGAAGAGAGGAAGCCCCGGGGACTCTGCATTCTGATCTTCATGGGACTGGGAATTTACAGCAGCAATGTATTTTTTTCAGATGAAACCAAGGGCTATCTTGGAAGTCCTGTTCTTAGACTCTAGAAAGGTGTTTTCCAACAGCAACATATATAATTTAAGATCAGAAACTTGCTACAATAATTTAAAATATAAATTTTAATTTTATGGGTGTTTTGCCTGTTTGTAGGTCCTGTGTCATATGTGTTTCTGGTGCCCACAGAGGCCACAAGAAATCCTCTGGAAATGGAGTTACAGATAGGTGGTAGTGAGTTGTCACGAGGGTGCTGAGAATCGAACCTGGGTTCTTGGGAAGAGCAGCCAATGCTCTAAACCACTGGGGCATCTCCAGTCTTTTCCTCCACTTAAAAAAAAAGAAAAAAAAAGCTCACATTTTCCATTTAAGTGCTTCTGAGACTCTTGCTTCATTCCAAGAGATGACCATATATGTGGAGATAAATACATTAAGTACTTACATGCTCTGCATAAACCCTTTGGAAATTCAGTTATTATTTTTGCCCTTCATATAGAGTGTTAAAACATACAGCCTTGTGACAAAGCTGCTCCAAGACACTGATGTGGCATCACCTGGAGCCAGTTCTGAAGGGTTTTGAAGTGGTGGTCTCATTTTAGGCCAGCTAGGAATTAAGAGTCATTTAAAGGGTCAGCATCTGTAATGCTGTTGCTGGCCTGGTGGTCGTCCCTGAATTTTCTGTTTAGGGGAGCAGAAGCATTTTTATATTATCCCTCTGTATACCCCCTCCCGTTTATCTTGCCTTCTGTTCTCTATTCTTAGTCCTGTATCCACCTGTCCATTAGTCAGTCCAGCAGCTATGGATCTTCTCTCCAAACAACAGGGCTTAGGCACAGTATACACAGGTGAACAAGTTAGGTTTCCTGTCCTTAAACAGCTAACGTCCTGTGAGGGAGGATAAATCATTCAGTGTAGGAAGAGGTCTGTTACAGTCAAAATAGTACATCATAACACTTGAGCAAGCTGGGGCACCTGGAGGAGGTGGGTTAGGATGAGTTCTTCATTGTGGGGTCGTCGGGGGAGATCAGGCAAGGGAATGTACAAAGTAGTGTGTGCATTGTATGGCTTGATTGTGGTTGGCTGACTAGGGAGAAGAGACGGTAGCTGGAGCTGCTTCTCAGGTAGGTTCACTGGAGTTACTGTCTTCTTTTGGCCAGGTTGGAACACAGAACAATAAATGACCGTGGCAGAAGTTGGCTTGTGGAGACTGGAGGATAGTTTCTTTATGGGGCAAAGGTTAAGGACAAGAAAACAAGGAAATGCTGAAGAGAAAGGTGAAGCCACCAAAGTGTATTA